CGCCGCCGCCTCCGACCACCGCCGCCGCCGACCAAGCGCCCTCCGACCACCGCCTCCGCCGGACAAGTTTGCTCCGACCACCGCCGGCCAAGTTTGCTCCGACAAGGTAAATGTGTTTTTTTTTTTTTTTTTGATTAGCCATGAAATTTCGGATTTGGGAATGGATTTGGGTTGGGATTTAGGAATTATGGTTGAAATCACTGTATTTAGTTTGGGAATGTAGTTGAGATTTGGGATTTGGGATTTGGGTTTGGATTTGGGATTTGGGAACTTACTGCAGGTTAGGCTTGGGTAAATCAATGTATTTAGTTTGGGAATGTAGTTGAGATTTGGGATTAAGGTTGAAATTTGGGAATGTATTTGAGATTAGGGTTTAACCATAATTAGGGTTTAGACATGAATAATGTGATTTGGGATTAGGGAATTTAGCAATTATTTGCTTTGTAGTTTAGATTAGAGTTTTAAATTTGACTTTAAGAGGATATGTGCCTCGGGGTATAGATGAGAGAGAATTAGTAAGTATTTTTAAATTTATTTTAAGTTTATTTTTATTAGAATTTTTCAATATTGCTAAATTATGTTTTTTTAAAAATTTGCAGGTATCAGCAATAGTTGATGTTCAAACCATTGCAAATAGTGGCTTGGAATTGGCTCATGCAGGTAATATAGAATTAAATATAAAATTTACATATTGTAATTTGAATTTTAAAGTAATTTTTGCATTTCGGATTTTTTTGAATTATCTCTCGCAGGTACATATCCCGAAGCATAGAAACATGCATCAATATATCAGTCGATAATGCAGAGGCTTCACCAAGCCTTACATCGAACTCATGAAGACCTTCATGATGGACGAGAAGTACCTCAATTAGTATACACACGTCAACAACGACACAGACGAGGACGACGCAGAAACGACAATGAAGCTGGGCCTTCCCAACGTGTTGACGACGGAGCTGGACCGTCACAACCACAAACGCAACCGGATCATGAACTCATCGAAGGTCGGGATAGAGGAGGCCGAAGACAAAGGAGGAGGAGAAGAGTTCTTGGATGTATGTAAGCTAATTGGTATTGTTATATAAATTACAATCCTATTTTGATATGTACATTACAAACGTATTTCGGGACAATAGATGGTTTTTGGATTTGTAGCTGAGATTGTGGTGTGACTTATTAGATTTGTAAGTGGGTTTGTGGCGTGATTTGTTGGATTTGGATTCGTAAGTTTGTGGCGTGATTTGTTGGATTTGGATTCGTACGTTTGTGGTGTATTTTATGATTTTTAGATTTGATATGTGTTTATACAGGGAATTGACATGAGTTTGTACAGGGAATTGATATATGTGTTTATGCAATGGTGTAATTTATGATTGTTGCGTTTGAAATATGCGTTTGTACAGGGAATTATCCCGTAGCAGAAATACATGCATAGTGAATGTGCAGGAAATGCACGGGACTGCTAGTCCCGTGCATTTCATTGCGCCCAGGAATTGCACGGGACTAGCAGTCCCGTGCTATTGTTTTTTGCAGAGACAGCAGGCTCTGTAAAATGCACGGGACTGTTAGTCCCGTGCATTTCTTTTTTGCAGACCTTCGTTAGTCTCTGTAATAAACACGGGACTGCTAGTCCCGTGTTATTCGAAATTGCCACGAAATACACGGGACTAGCAGTCCCGTGTATGTCGTAAAAAACCTTCAGCAGCAAAACCGACCCTTTTCTTCTGAAAAGGGTCGGTTTTGCTATTTAAATTTCGATGAGGTCGGTTTTGCTATTTAAAATTCGAAATCGGTTCATTTTGAAAATTTGTCCTAAAAAAAATTAATGATATTCAAGATTAATCACTCTTAATTGAGACAAAAACACAATGCATTCATCGATTCCTTTGATCAAATTAAAACATCCTCATATTTTTTACATAGAAAAGATGAAGACACTGAAGGATAACAGAGAAATGTGTCTTTTTTACATAGAAAAGATGAAGAAGACACTGGAGGATAACAGAGAAAGGTGTCATCGTAATGTTGAAGAACTCATAAGAAACAAACTTACTGCATTCAGCATGAATAGATCTGGCTCAACTAAAAGAAGTTGTGCGCATCAGAGTGTACAGATACCTACCCACTATTGTCAAGATCAAAAATTTTGAACGTCACACGGAAACTTGATTCAGGAATGCTGAGCAACGTGACAAAGAAGAGCTGTGAACTTTCAGGCCTATGCGTAATCCATTGCTATGACAAGTCCCCCTGCCGGTTAGAAGATCGCATCAAAGTCATCACTTTCTTAAACTCCTCTTTCTCGATCTCTCTGTAGAATTATAGACAAATCAGCATCAGTACCTAACCAAATTTAAAAATCAGAAAAGAAAAGATTGTCCGGCATTCAATCAAATGGATTGATGTCTACTCTACAAAATCAGAATTAATCTGGACTTGAACTAGAATTGCTTAAGTGGATGTGAACTGTCAACAGGAACACAATATGAAGTACAAAATCCACAGCCAAATTGTCTAACTTCAGCGAGAGCATATGTACAACATACATAATTAAAAAGTCTTTTCAGGAAGCAGCATTCAAAATGGACAAAAGAGAGAATATATTATAAGAGCATTATAAATATTGGCTTTGTTAGTTAGAAGTATGAAGAAGACACTGAAGGATATCAGTCCATCACTGTTAGTATCAAAAAGATTAAACGACTACAGGAACAATAGATTAGACGATAGATTAGACGATGTGGAACCTTGAATAGATTAAACATCTAAGCTGAATGTGCAATGAACTTGCTTACAAATTATAGGATTTGATACCTTCTCCCTAGTGTCTACTTGGCATTCCATGTCACAATCTGCTAATAAGTTCAGAAAGATCAATAAAGTGAAATATATATACCTACAAATGCCACCATATAACATAAAACCAAATGATCAATAATTGAAGCAACTCCAAAAAGGAAGAACTACAACAACACAATCAAGAGCAACACATCAGGCATTTCAGTTTGATTTACAGAGCTGCGTACAGAAAGCTAACAATTTATAACGCAGAAATTTATACGCAAATATTTAATCTGCTAAAGCAAACAATTCCATAAACGATGACTTAATTGAATATTCTCATAATATACCAAGATGATAAACTTTTGAATATCAAATTGAGTTCAATATGCATTGTAAAGATGACACTCAAATGCTCTAGATTAACAATTGTACACAAACATGCACATCTAGTTTATCTTCAACTTGACCAATTCGACGAGAAATGTCTGAAATAATATGGGTTTTAGTCATTTATATGTCACATATCACAAATAAGAATATGTATTTGAAACTTATATCCCAAATCAAGCAATTTGAATTCATATGATTTAGCTCAGAATAGGAAGATATACCTCTGTTTTAAGCTTCTCCTTCTCCTTAAGAAGATTATCATAACCTTCCTTAAGAACATCAAAGCTCTTCTTCAACAGCTCATAATCCTTCTCAATTTTGCGTCTTCCACCTTGCCCTCTGATTCTGAAACCAAATAGCTACCTGTCTTGGTTGCAATCCAAGATCCTTAACAAGCTGAATTTTTCTCTCAGGTTCAAGCTTGTTCTTAATTTTAAAGCTCTTCTCCAAGAACTGAACTTGGGTGGAAGTGAGCCTCCTCTTATTCTCTGGCTGATGGAGGGACTCATCATTATCATCATCAAAGGTTTCCTCAGGTTCTCTAGGGTGGTAGAATGGCTGATTGCTTGTGCTATGGCAAATTTCCTCAAAGTTTAGCATTGATCTAGAGCATGAAAATATAAGTACTCAAATGATTCAGTACAATAGTATGATAAGTGACGAAATAATAGTCAATGAATTGTCAGTGGAGATTCATACAGTATTAATGAGAATGATATAGAGAATACTTCAGTGAATCTTTAATTTCCCATGTCAAGCCGAACAATAATTGTGACAAATGATGCAAAGAAAAAGATTCAATTATAGAGATGAACAGCTCTCAATGGAAACTTATTAATTGAACAGCTCTTAATGGAAACTTATTAAATATAACTATGAAAATTGATCAGAGCTTAACTTGAAATTTAACTTTAGTAGCATAATAAATATGAAAAGGAAAAGGAGCTTACCACAGAAACCAGTATGCGAGGAGCTAGAAAAAATCAAAGTCTGGAAAGCCTTAGAAGAAATCCCTTCATTCTACAACAAAACACCCATCTCTGAACCTCCATAAACTCTTCTCCCTGTCATCTTTCTCTACTTGTTTCTACTTAGAGAGAGAAAACAGAGATCAAATTTTGCCTAAAACCCAGAAAAATTTACAACTAGATCTTCATCAAGATCAAGCTATGAAAATTTGATCCTTTTCTGACAAAAACCGACGAGACCCAAGGTTTTCAAGCAAGATTTCCAGTTCAGCACATATACAACAAGCATGAAAAACATATTGCAAAATTGCAATGTGAGGTTTGGAAACGTCAACAGCTTGATCGATGTATGGTTTTAAGAACTCCTTAGCGTCCTAATCCTAATATCAGACATGCTTCAGTACTAAATAGGCACACAAAAAATTAGGGTTACTTGATGACGGGGGATTTAAAGACAAACATAAAATTTCAACCTGTTAATTTGATACGAGACAGGAGGCAGCGAGGTAGGATTTGGGGAGATCCGGAGGCAAACGGCAAGATCGACGAGCCCTCAGACGCCGCGGCAGCGGCGAACCGTCCGACGGCTATGGCGACCATCTCGGTGGCTGGCGCGAGGTCCGAGTTGGGGGAAAAGGCAGAATCGATGCGCGTGACCTTACGAAGGCGGCGACCTCGATACGCGGCTGTGGCGACTTCCGTGCGGGGTGGTCCGTTGGGGGGAGAAAGGGAAGGATCGACGCGTTCGGGTTTGGGAATTTTGGATGTAAGAGAGAGAGAAATAGAGAGAACGGGCTATATGTCTCCCCTCTTTTTTTTTCGGGTTAAAATAAATGGGGGGAAAGTTGTTTGCATTGCTGCTAGCCGTCAAGGCCTTGCCCCAACGGTTTGAACCGTTGGGGCTCGTGAAATCTGTCCCAACGGGTCAATCCACCTGTTGGGGCTGACAGGTTTTTTTACTAGTGAGAGAAATAGATAACAAACTACTATAATTAATATTACAACGTCTAACATTATAACAGTACTATATATATATATATATATATATATATGTCATCGAAACAATAAATTAATATCTACAATATTTCTTAATCTATACTCACTATAAGTATCATTTATCTTGTACGAAACAAAATAATAATATGCACATACATACTTGGGGAAACCGACTCAAGAGAAAATGCATGCGTTAATTAACGTAATGGGTTAACTGCAAAACCCTAGATTGAAGAGGGATAGAAATTAAGACGAGTTACCTTCACTCGTGGGGGTTAATCTAGGGTTTTTGCATCAATGGGCGAATATTTATAGAAGGTCCCACGGTGAAACTACCGAAATGGGATCCAATTGGAAAAAGGGATTTGTTGTTCTAAAGCCCATTGACATTAAGGGCCTGTTCGTTTGCCTTAAAAAAATGGGAATCAAAGAAATAGAAAACTATTTCTAAGAAAAATGGGTTTTTGAATTGTTTGGTTGGCTAAAAAAAAGGAAATCAAAGAAATGGAGATGAGTTGTCACATTATTATTGGATGATGTGAGTGATTTTTTAAGAAAACTAGTTTTGATGTTGTTCGGTTGGCGAAAAAAATAAGGAAATGAATTATAAGAAACCTATTTCCTGTAGTTTTGTTGTTTTCTTTTGTTTGGTTCATTCTTAAAAATAAGAAATGAAATAAGATGAGATGAGTTGTCATTGTATTATTGGGTGATGTGAAGAAAAATTAAGAAAAGTGTTTTCACAACTTTTTGTGATGAAAACTAAGAAATAAAATGTTAATGAGATGAGATGAATTGTTATAATATTTTATTCGATGATGTGAATGATTTGAAATGATGAAAAGAGATGAGTTGAGTGATGTTTGGATGAAAATAATATTTTATTAGATGTGATGGATGAGTTGTTAGATGAAAATAATATTTTATTAGATGTGGTGGATGAGTGGTTAGATGAAAATAATATTTTATTAGATGATGTGAATGAGTTGTTGGATGAAAATAATATTTTATTAGATGTTGTGGGTGAGTTTTAGGGATGGAAATGGAAGAAATGGGTTATTTTGAGATTTCCACCTTTTCCATTTCCATTTCTTGATTTTTAGGAAATAAACGAACAGGCCCTAAAGAGTTCGCCAAAACAGCCTTCAGTTTGGGGCCTGTTTGGTTGGTTTCCTACAAACCAAGAAAAGGAAATCGGTACAAGAAAATTAATAAAATAATATTTTTATTCATTTTCATCACTAAAACTCACCCACAATATTCAATAAAATATTATTTTTATTATCCAACTCATCTAATTTCATCTCCTTTCTTACCTTTAAAAATAATAGAAATGTTAGGGGCACACCCCCAACCACACCCTCCACCACACCTCCTCTCCCTCTATAGTGCATTGGGTCCCACATCAAATTTTTTCAATGCACTATAGAGGAAGAGGAGGTGTGGTGGGGGGTGTGGTTGGGGGTGTGCCCCTATCACCCCTCTAAAAAAAAACCAAACACAAGAAATGTGTCACATCATCCAACTAATCACATCTTATCTTATCCCATTTTTAAAAATCACACACATCATCCAATAATATTGTGACAACTCATCTCATCTCATTAAACGTTCCTTTCCATCCATTTCCTTAAAAAAAACAAGAAATTGATTTCCTTAACTATGTGTCACATCATCCAATAATATACCTCCAACTCATCTCATCTCATCTATTTTCTTATTTTTAAAAATGAACCAAACACAAACAACCTCAAAACATCATTCAATAATATACCTTCAATTCATTTCCTTTTTCTTTTAACCAACCAAACAACATCAAAACAAGTTTTTTAAAAAATCACTCACATCATCCAATAATAATGTGACAACTCATCCCATCTCATCTCCTATTCTATAATTCCCTTCTTTTTTAAGCCAACCAAACAACCTCAAAACAATTATTATAGAAAATAGGTTTCCTATTTTTTAATTTCCCAAATCCTTTTGCCAAACGAACAAATCCTGATGTAGAAAGTCAAGCTCATAGCAACCGAGGAGGAACAAGTAAGCGTACGTTCAGCATATCGATCGCCAACAATATTTGACATTTTGATATAACCTCAACGTATCCTTTAACCACAGGTGTGCGTGTTCATGAACTGAAACAAACTTACACCAAATCAATAACCCGAGCTTAGTTTGATTACAGCACGTGGTCTTCAGAGTTCAGGCACAACATAATAAAAACGAGTTTCAGATATTCATAACATGTTTTTGCTACATTAAATAGGAATTAATGAGAAGTGTGGCTGACATTTCTAATATCTAAAAACACATATTGCTTGGTAAGCATGAACGAGAAGCTGGAATTGCATTCTATTTCCACTCATTCTCGTGTAACAAATGAGGCATTAGATACAGTCATACAGAACTTGAAAACTAGTTCTAGATGGCTGGTAAATGCGGTGTTTTATCTTTTTTGAATAGTGTCATACTTTACAAGTGGATTTTATATAATTTTTTGTGTTCTCCTTGAAAATAGGTTGTATCCTGATGCGATTGGTTTTAAAAATAATTTCTAAAAGTGAGAGCTAAAAATCCATAGCAAAATTTTTTCCTTGAACTGTCATAATTTTTTTTTCAGGAGACTACATGACTACTTTAGTGGAAAGTAAGTATGTCGCAAGCGCATGACTTTTTTAATTATATTTGTATCATATTTTGATTTTTTTTTGTAGTTTATTGCTTCTATAAGTTGTGATTTTTTTTTAATGATCCAACGTAGAATTGAACCGAAGACTAAGAGAGTCATATTAAAACCACCCAATTATCCAGATCACCAACACGGTAGGTCCAAGATGTGAAATTTATAATTGGGAGTCAATGAACACATTTTGTGGTTAATCAATAAAGAAACTATGAAGAAGTAGCCAATGGAATCAGATTACATCAATTATACCAACTAGATTCCATCCCTCCAATCATCATTGCGAAATTTTCAACGATGATGCAACGGAATCATCTGACATTAACTAGCCAAACTCACACTATAATATTCCCAACTCCCCTCGGGCCAATCAAATCACCCAAAAGTCCAAAGCCCCTGGGCCCACACTTGGATTCTTCCGAAGCCCAATTTAGACTTGACTTCCGCATCTCCGTCAAGCGACTCTCACTATGAAGAAGCCTATCGGCATCTCCATTTTTTCTTGCTCGTTATAATTTCTTGAAAATAATAATAAAAAAAAGGGAGAAAAAGTATTAATTTACATGGCTTCTTCTTCTTCGTCGTCGGACTTATGTCCGCCGCTGGGGTTCTCAGCGAAGTATTACTCGGTGTCGGCCTCCGGCGAGTGTACGAGACAGAGCAGCTTCTTTCAGGGGGAAGCAGTGCTGAGCCAAGGAGTTGGGTACTCTGTGGTTTTGGGCTTTGGAGCGTTTTTTGCGGTCTTCACTTCCTTATTGGTAACGTTTTCCTTTTCTATTTTGTTAGTGGGCCTCCATTTTAGCCCATCTTGATCCAACTTGTAATTGCGATATGTTGGTTCGATGTTTAGGCCCATTTACAAGAAGGTACCAATGGGAAAACTGCGATCAACTGCTGTGACCATTATTTAATACATAATATCTGGAATAAGTTTATGTATGTGAATCCAAAATGTCTTTTTGTTGCTTACTGAATTGAATAGCCTGTTCACGTTCTAATATGATAGGTAATCAAATGCTTATATAACCATGCTTTGGAATATAATAATGTGGTTTACTTTCGAGGAAATTTTAGATGTAGACAGGTTATATGGTTGACAAAAGTCAAAAGATACAGGGATTTGTGGAAGTTGCAACTTGCGTAGTTACTTGAAATAGAATGAATATTGTTTCTTGCAGCTTCTTAAATTTAGTTCCTTTAACCATTACACCAAAACTCTGGAGTTATGGTGAAGATCAATGATTATAGTTTTATATTAATTCTAACATGCCCCCGCATGTTGAGCGCCCTTTTTTATGGGTCGAAACCTGAACTCACGTAGCAGTGTCAATTTTTAGAAAATCCGCATTTAATTCATGACCGATGAGATTTGAACCTGGGTTGCTCTGATACCATCTTAAATTTAGTTCCTCTAACCATTACACCAAAACTCCGGAGTTATGGTGAAGATCAATAATTATAGTTTTATATTAATTCTAACACAGCTTCCCGACCCAAATTGGAGTTAAAAAAAAATTGGATGAAGTCCTTTCCACCCTCTTATCACAAGAAAACGAGTCGAAAAGAAATTTTTTGATTACCATCCTATTCAGTACGTCTACATTTTAGATTATTAGTTTGATGATCATGATCTCTTAGCATAAAGAATGCGGGGTCAATTCTCATGAGCCAATAGAAATTAAATTCTTTGATGAAGCAATTTTTGGAAATATTGTTGTGGAATCTAAACCAGGTGTGGCTAGAGAGGCGGTATGTTGGATCTCGTCATACATCTGAGTGGTTCAACACTGCTGGTAGAAATGTTAAGACAGGACTCATTGCCAGTGTTATCGTGTCGCAGGTATCGGTCGCACTGTTTCTATTACTCTTTATGATCAAAGCTATTTTCCAGTAACAAATTTCTGGTGAATTCTCTAAAATTTCTGTACGAAGTGGACATGGGCTGCAACAATCTTGCAAAGTTCCAATGTTGCATGGGAATATGGAATCAGTGGTCCTTTCTGGTATGCCAGTGGTGCTACCATTCAGGTTAGTCCTTTAATATCAGTATCTCAAGTTAAATAAATTCGTAACTGCTAGCAAGTTCAATGACTAGGAAAGTTGTGTTTTTTTGTGTCCGCAGGTTCTTTTATTTGGCGTCATGGCCATTGAAATCAAAAGAAAGGCTCCTCAAGCGCATACCGTTTGTGAAATTATAAAAGCGCGGTATGCTGAAAAAAATGTATACTATTTTTGAACCAGGCTCTTCTTAGTTTGCACTCTGTTGTACTGAGCATATGTATATATTTGTGCAGATGGGGAACTGCAGCTCATGTTGTATTTCTTTTATTCTGCTTCATGACCAATATAATCGTGACTGCCATGCTCCTGCTTGGTGGTTCTGCAGTTGTTAATGCACTCACTGGTGTGAATATTTATGCTGCGAGCTTCCTCATTCCACTTGGTGTAATTGTATACACATTGGCTGGAGGATTAAAGGCCACTTTCCTGGCGAGCTACATTCATTCAGTCATAGGTAAGTTTGGGAATATCTAAAATTCATACAATATGCAATATAATCAATCTTAGTTTTTTTGAATCGTTAGAGCAATTTGACTTGCAAGGTAAAGTGTAGAAATGGGTATTCACCTTTCTTTTGTACATGTATTATTGCCAAAGGATAGCATGTGATGGACAATCTAATAAGTGCAATGGCCTGATATACTTACGAAACCATTTAAAGGATTTTTATGTGGGCATATTTTATGGTTTATATGTATCATGTGCATTTTGTTAGCTTACAGATGTTATTGAAATCTGGCATATGTACGTTCATTGTTCTTTGCAAATGGATATAGAGAAATGTTGTCTTCATTGTCCACATATTAACAGAGAGATAGCTTATAGAAACTCAAATTAATGTGATCAATACTTTAAAATATAGAAGGCTAATATGCTCTTTTAGTTGCGTATTCGCTAAGTATATTAACAGCTTCTTTAACTTAAGTTCATGATAAGTCATTACTGCTTTGAAATTACCCCCTCCTTTTGTTGTACCAAATGGTGAAGGTTTTAGTCTAAGATAGCTGTAAGCCTGCTAAACTTAGATGGTTGCTTTGTTACCTATTGATAAATATCAAGGTATATCTATCAGTTCTCCCCCATGTTCATGTGAATTCTCTTTGAAGTCTCTTAAAATTAAAGAATCATTGAGCAGACTAAGCTTGCATGACATACTGTCCTTGAACATTTGAACTGATAAAATATTTTGAGCAGCATCCAATGGGTAATGAAAATAAAATCATAGATGAATATAACATAGCCAGTAGTGATCATCCTTCAACTGTTTCATTATGATTTTTTATTGGAAGTACCATCAAGATATAATATCAGATAGAAAACTTGCATTTAACATTGTCCTCTTATCCTTCAAGCGTGAGCAAGGGCGTGGCATGTCAGGACAGTGCAATTCAGTACAAATTCTGAATACATAACCACCATCGACAAAACTCCATAATAGATGTTTCTGTTATACGTAGCCTCTTAGCTGAAGTCTACTTCATGTTACCATTTTGAGCTCTTTTTTGTTAACTAGATTATTTACTGCATTTAACACAATCAGTCAAACATCGACCTCTTCCCCTTCCAAATCTTGTGATCCCAGAATGTCTGTTTCAGACTATTTGTTCGGTATAAAATTTGAGAATTTGTTAGACAGAAGTTATCTTTTTCATGTGTTGTTGTATATCTGGACTTCCCGAACATTCTCTAATCTTCACTCTCAATGTGCAGTGCATATTGTTTTGGTCATCTTTGTTTATCTGGTTTATACCGCAAGTAGTGAGCTCGGGAGTCCAAAAGTTGTATATCATCACCTATTGGAGGTTGCTAGCAAATCTAGAGCATGTCAGGATCCTATTTCGCATGTTGGTCAAGCATGCGGGCCTGTGAGCGGAAACTACAAGGGCTCCTATTTGACCATGTTAAGCTCAGGTGGCCTTGTTTTTGGCATCATCAACATTGTGGGAAACTTTGGTACGGTCTTTGTGGATAATGTAAGTAGTATCAAAATTCTCAGCACGCTGTTGCTCTTTATCTTCTATTAAGTGCTTGATTCATGTCACGTTCTGCTTGCATCTTCTCTTGTTGTCTTTATTTACTCTAATCTCTAATCTGGTTCATTGGTGATACAAGCAAGAGATATACTTCCTTGAAATTGCACTAGTGTATAGTACTCTGATTAGAACGAGAGAAGGATCAAACTGAACTTTGTGCTAATTCTACCAGGGTCCTAAATATCCAATGAAATTTGTGTTCTGAGCTTGGTGCAGCATGTCCCTTTTATTAGGTTTTATATTTTTTTTTCCGAACCATTACCAATTATCATGGCCTACTGTAAGTACCGCATGCATCTTATCTTTCATGCTGAAAATTGACTAAAAGGTAGTTCCAGTAGATGCAACTCCAATATGCTTTTTTGTTATGGTCACAAATCAAATGGTATTCTCACATTACCTCTTGCAGCATCAAAACAGGAAATATTTACTCTGTTGAAAGTTTTCTAATATAATGAAATTGCATCTTCCCATATTTTAAAATTTTGATAACCTTCTGAATGATCACTGACCAGGGATACTGGGTTAGTGCCATAGCTGCACGACCATCATCGACCCACAAGGGATACTTGTTAGGTGGGCTTGTGTGGTTTGCAGTCCCGTTCTCTCTGGCAACGTCATTGGGTCTAGGTGCTCTTGCTCTTGATCTTCCGATAACTGCAAGTGAAGCTAGTCATGGCCTCGTTCCTCCGGCTACAGCAATAGCCTTGATGGGAAAAGCAGGATCTGTGCTTCTTCTAACCATGCTTTTTATGTAAGCAATTGTTGCGTTTCCATTTTCTTTACTAAATTAGTGATTGACAGTTTCCTTAAAAACAATCAGTGAAATTTGTCTTTATGGATACACTTGGTTTCAAGATTAGACATTTATAGGCCCCATTTGAAAAGTAGGATAAAAAGGAAGTACATTTACACCTTTTTCACCTGTCAAACACCCAAAATTCTTCTTTATATTAATTTATGCATCTTATACCCAAACATCAGTAACATTAGTCATGCCTGAAATTCTTTTTGAAAAGTATGATGTTAATTGATCATTTATGTAACAATACATGTTGTATGTGTATGTGTTGCAATAGAAGGTGTTACTGTCAGTGATGCATCCTATTGAGTTTTCTGAGAACTTACTAGTAGAAACTGGCAACCTTTGAACTTCTCTCCTTTAATTTATCTGCCTATGTCTCTTCTCAGGGCTGTGACTTCTGCTGGTTCCTCAGAGCTAATAGCTGTTTCTTCCTTGTGCACGTACGACATCTATCGAACCTATATTAACCCAGATGCAACAGGAAAGCAAATCCTCAAGGTCTCGAGAGGAGTTGTCCTTGGCTTTGGATTGTTCATGGGTGTATTAGCAGTGATCCTGAATAAGGCTGGAGTTTCTCTTGGTTGGATGTATCTTGCCATGGGAGTAATAATTGGCTCCGCTGTACTTCCTGTAGCTTTCATGCTCTTATGGCGTAAGGCAAATGCATTTGGGGCTATCATAGGAACTGTTTTTGGTTGCATTCTTGGAATAGTCACATGGTTGTCAGTGACGAAAGTAGAATACGGAATTGTTAATCTTGATACTACTGGCCGGAATGCTCCAATGCTCGCTGGAAATCTCGTGTCGATACTCACTGGTGGGTTTGTTCATGCTGCGTGTAGTGTTATTTGGCCACAGAATTATGATTGGGAGACAACCAAGCAGATAACTACTGTTGAGAAAGTGTACAGCGAGTTGCCTGATGAAGAGTTCAAGGAGGAGAAGCTGGTTAGAGCTAAATCATGGATTGTTAAGTGGGGTGTGGCCTTCACTGTTGTTATTGTTATATTGTGGCCGCTGCTTTCTCTTCCAGCAGGTATATGATGAACTCATACAACTTGAATTCTATCATTTAACTCTTGAAGGTTTCTCTTCTTCCAACATATTGATATTATTTTTATAATCTCAAAGTGCTCTTTTTAATATGGGTAAAATAAAAAAAAAAGGAAAATTAATATTCTTGAGTACTTGGTGGAGATACTCCTCAACAAAACTGGATGTAAGAATAGGATTCTTGTAGCTTGACCTCAAAAGTTTAGGGTAAAATTTTTGTTGCTGCTGTTATTATTGGTAGTGGTGGTGAAATGTCCCCTTTTTACTTCTACAGTTTATGATTGAACATAATTGTTGTCATCTATTGCAATTGAGGTCTAAGTCCTTATTTCCCATATGCTTGTGTCCTCAGAGCTTGCTTTCAGAAAAATTAGTTGACACTTTGGTTTTCCTTGCTACAAACTTAAACATTTATTTGACATGAACAAGTAAGTAAAGGCCGATGAACCCGCAAGCTTGAAATCAAATAAAAGATGAAAGAAATCTCAGGGTGACCATGTAAAACTAGTTTTGCATTCAAACTAAAGAAACTTTGTCATTGCAGGGAAATTTAGCTTGGGTTACTTCACCTTTTGGGCAGTCATCTCCATTATATGGGGAACCGTCGCATCAGCAGTGATCATTATCTTACCCTTGAAGGAGAGCTGGGATACGATCACAAGCATCTGCATGGGCATGTTCACAAACGAAAAGCTAACAGAAAAGATCGATGAAATGAACTTCAGGTTGAGAGCTATTATGGTGGCCATGCCTGAGGCAGAGGAAATTTACGTGCGCGAGAAGGAGAAGGCCAGGAAACTAGAAGCTGCTGGAGGAAAGCAGTCCTAGTATTTTCATCAATTGTTATATCACAGTAAGCATGCATCACTGTTACATTATATTCATCAGTATTTATCACCTGCTGTAGTACTTATCACCTCTCAACTCTTCTATTAGCACTTATCACCCCACAGTTTATGAGGGCGACGGGGGCTTATCTGCAATTCATATTTTTTTTCTCTCAATTGTGAATCTCAGGAGTGATAAGTGCTAATAGATGTATAGATGATAGGTTATTTGCAATTTTCTCTTCATGTATCTAAATTTCAAAATATTCTCTTGTACAGATCAACAAGTGGTTATCTTAGAGATCTCTATCGGTGAGTCCTGTGAGACGTTCAAGGTGAACAGAAGCCAGCTTTAGCATGTTTGTGCTGCTGTATTTACTGATCTCTTTAGTGTAGAAAAACAAACATGTAAAAAAATTGTGATTTCCTTTGTCATTACATAGAAAAGGCTTGAACGACGAAACGATTTGTAACATTTGAGGTCAGATTGCACTTGAAAAGTTCACAGGGCTCCCAATTTTAATGAAGAACGCTTGAGGAGTTGGTGTTGAACAGTTCTGTTCTGAGAAAAGAATATTGCAAATCAATTCACATCGCAAATATTTTCACTGGTAATACTTTCTCCTCATCTAGTGAGGATATTCATTGTCTCATTAGTCATTAACATAGTTTAAGCGGGTTTTGAATGCTTCACTTTTGTTCATGTAGTTTATCTATAGGACAACTTCCTATTCGAAAGCAGACATTGTTTTAAAAGGCGGTCTGGGCGCCCACCTAGGCGGCCATTTAAACCTAAGCGGGACTTGGGCCACCCATCTAAGCATTGGAAGCGCCTAGGGGAGAATGGGCTGCTTGCATGGAAAATACGTGTTAGAAAATGCTATGTTGCTCGCTTAAGCATAATAATGGTTGAAGAGAATTAGCCAGGTTGAAATGTATCGAAGATCAAAACTCTATGTCCAAGTCTATCTCAAGTAAAACAGTGAGAATATGATTTAAATCTTCGAAAACAATCCTTCCTCTCTCTATGTTAAAAACATCTATGTGCCGCTTAAGCGTTCCACCTAGGCACCCGGGCGCCAGGTCTTGCGCCTAGAAACACCTAGTGCTTTCTACGCCTAGGCACCCGAGCGGCAGGTCTTGCGCGCCTAGAAACACCTAGCGCTTTCTAAAACGATGAAAACAAATGGAAAGTAGATCAAAAATCAAGATCTTTTTCATTTTCATCCCATTAAAAAGTTAATAAAAAGTGATTAAAAAAACAGATGAAAGTGAAACTTGTCCGATATGATTTTGTGAACTCCTCCTTTCCTCCCTTCTCTTATAGAAAGTGAGGGAATTCAAGAGTATATAACCATCTAACATGATGTTGTGCAATAAGCTATTTGCATCTTCAAAAGTGATGCCAACCTAAATCCTGTAACTCAACAGACAATCGTAGCAGGCGCGGTTGAAATGCAGTACGTTCACAGGAGGCTGAATATCGAATCCATACGCTCAACTTCAAATTCTAACACCAGCATAAACGATGAGTTCGTTTACACGTAATAACGGATAGCTCGAATGGCTAATTTTTATGGAAAGCATAAAACAGGAAGTTCAACTAAATATGCTTGCAAGCATATTACAATTTGAGTTGAACACTGATTACTATCTATCACACAACAGCCAAGCAAGTAGTAGAGCACTACGCAGCTCAATTAGCAGCAGCTTCTTCCAGCAACTGCTTCACCTTGGTGATGTAGTCGCTCATGGCTTCATCCTTGGATTTTCCTGTAGATGAGAGAAATTAGTAACAAATTAAAATAAATTTAGGGATTTCTAGGAGTTCAAAGAAAATGTAAGGGTAAGTTTAGAACCTTCAACAGCCTTCCATGCATCCCATTTGGCTCTGTCTTTCATGTTGAACATACCCGGGCGAGCTGTAGAAAAATTGAGTTTTATCCATTTAGAAAGTTAAAAAGATGGAAGATGATCAACATAAGCAGGGGATTGATCTATGGAGGTGGAAAGAAATAGAAAGCACAAAATATATGAATAACAAAATATGAGTGGTAGAACATAGAAAATGATAAGTTAACATTTAACAAGCCTTTAATTGTACAAAATAACAATTCCATTCTAAGATCCATTTAACCCCAGTGGCAGCTATCCTACTAATATAGGGGTTAAAACAACAATTTTTTTGAAACCCCAATTGTCTCTCTTATATCTGACTCACAGTATATGTACATGTTGTTGGTTATTTCAGTAGAAGCCGAGTTGATAAGTAAATCATTTCCCTCAATTAAGGAAACCTTCATTCAAATTGCACCATTACAAAATTGTTTTGGTAATGAAAATCGAAATATAGATTAGATTATCTAAGAGAGAGGAAAGGAAAATATGCTGACTTTTGGAAATCTTTCTTGCAGCAGATGAGCATGTCTCATGCATTTCAAATCAAGTGAAGTGATGACATGAGAACATGCAATGCAGAAATGTCATATATAGCTTGTACCTTAGGAACCATGATAAAGACATGACAAACAAAAGTTGCAATTTATCAGTCATCCATGTTTGACAAAGGCAAATAAAAAAGCAAAGCCCACCTACAAAGTTAATTCCTTTGAAATTGGAATAGAAACTTTGTCATTCTTGACTACATCATCAATTGGGAAAATATAATTATGATCATATGACTGTTCAAATACTTGAAAATTGTCTCTCAAAAGAAAATTCAAATTATTACCAGTTATTGTCGCTACTAAATCAACAAAACATAAAATGATCCGCAAGTTATACGCAAATTAGTAACTGCTGCAAGACTAATAAGTTGATTTTGTACAAACCGGTGTTGACTGGCCCAACAGTGGCCTGTTTATAAAGCCCGTAGAGGATCAGTTTGTTCTCATTTGAGGTATTCTCTGGTAGAGTCTTGGCCTTCTCAGCATGCTCTTCGAACTCTTCCTACATTTAGGTCAATTAAAATATCATCACGGGTTCAGTTTACTCGCCGGTCCTTATAGCATGGTAAAGCAAAACAGTACATGTTTTTTACTTCTAAAAATAAATACTAGGGACAGCCTTAATACACTTGCACATCAAAGAGAAGCTACATGTGGTAATTTGTTATTTTTATACAGATAGTAGAAGTGAACAAAACTATATTTGTGCTTGAACTTAGAAAGGCAAAAAAATTACGAGCAATGGAATGGAAGTACGTATAACAATGGAGATGCACTAGCTCCTAAAAAAACATAGCTATAAAGGCTCTACCACCTATGATTTCCCCCAATTTATAAACCGTTGCTTAGATTTTTTTGAGAGGCAGACGGACTGTTAAGCATGCTTACTAAATACGTGTAGATATAATATAATCTTCTAAAATTTTATTAAATGTTATTTGGTTAAACTGTCCAAAAAAAAGAGTCCAACTTGATGTGTAGCCTATTGATTTGGTACAAAGGGATGCATGAAACAGGAGATTAATTTTGCATCAATAAATCCCATCTCATAAATCAGAGCAAAATCGTCTCCGCTTTGTTCCCTTAAAAGATCACCTACGATTCGAACAAAATTCCGGATCTAATTTATTTTGATTCAGAGAATTATAAATCCGATATCACACAACATTCAGATATAAACATAGCGTTAAGCATTGAGCATTAACATAAATTTCTTAATAGAACCATAGGGGGTCTGCCCGCAATTGACGATAGCACAGGGGTCTATCAACAATTAACCTTTTTTTCATTACAAAGTTGTTATACTCATAATCAACACTATTATTTCTAAAATAATCCTACGCAATAATCATCACCAGCTTCTATAATTTGATCAGAACACAGAGAACTATCACGACCCAGATCAAAGGACGGATGAAACTAGCATTTTAAGCATAAAATGTTTCAATGTGGGAGCAGATCAAAGGATAAGAAACTACAGATCTGTGCACTAAAAAGTCCTCAAATCACAAAATTATCCATCAAATTGTCTCCAACCCGAACAAAATGTAAATAGATCCAGAAAATAAGAAAATAGTCCAGATCGATCCGAGCAATTGAAGGGAAAAAACAAAAACAACTCAAATTCTTAATCCTAAATCACTAGAATTAAGCAAAAAGATTGGATCTTTATACGATAAAAAGGGCAATAAGCTGGGCTTCTGATGATGATACCTTCAAGCCCATCGCCTGCTCTGATTTTTCCGCTCTCTGGAATCACGATGCGGGCGTTGGTAATGAGGCGCGCGTTTTTATAGTGGAGGAATGAGAAATGAGGCTCGCGCTTTATGAAAATTACGTGATTTGCCACCTGGCGCTTTTGCGGGCTGTAACCGGTTCCCACGTCTCGAGGTAGTTATTTGGATAGGAAAGATGGCATCAGACACCAAACAGCGGAAACAGCAAATTGAACAAGGAGGCGTTTGATCAATTTATGCTTCCAAGAGGAAAAAATGGGGAATAAGCGCTGAATATGCATTAACATTGTTAAAACCAAATATTTTATACAAAATTTAGATTAAGAGACATATCTGCACCTATTGCGATTTTTCTTTTTCTTTTTCTCGGATTTGTCACCTTTCAATTTTACATTTTCTAATACTTAAAAGGCTTATTTGTAGTTTTCATTTCTAAACATGATTGTAGAGTGTCCTGAGATTTTTTATGAGTGAGAGCCACAGAGACCATTTAATGAGGTAGGAAATGAGTAGCCATCTCCAAAAAGCTCGCCGGCCCGAGCCCGGCCCGGAACCCAGCCCGGGCCCGACCGGGTTGGAATCCAGCCCGGCCCGGAAACCCGGGTCAGACCCGGGTCCGGGTCCCCTCGCTAGCGCCCGGCCCGGAACTAGTTCCTGATCGGGGCAACGACAACGGGCCGGGCGCCCGGACCCAGAGCTCGACCCTCCACAACGGTCACCCTCGGTGACGTTGCGGGCAAAATCCTAGTCGTGCCGGGTTGGCTCGGCCTGGCGAAAACGGTCACCCTTGGTGACCGTTTTCGCCAAACGGTCAGATATAGTGACCGTTTGCCGGCCGGCCGGGCTAGCCAGGCCAAAACGGTCACAAATCTGACAGTTTTGGCTGAGCTGGCCCGGTCCGGCCCGGTCAAAGCGGACATTTTTTACGTTTTGATGGTTTTGCCCCTTAAACGGTCAAAAATGACTATTTGGTGAGGAGTTTTTGATCATTTGCCTAGGAGGCTGCTCTATAAATAGAGAGGGGGGGGGGTTTCACTTCTTCTCCTAACACCAAAACTCATCTACTTCATTCTAATACCCTCTTATACAATCTTATACTCTCTTATAATCTCTTATACTTTCTAATTCTTTCATCAAATGACTTTTGGCTCTGATTATGAAGAGCAAAATCTATCTCCTACCGATATTGAAATGAGTCCTCCTACAACAACAGCTACTCCTCCTACCGATCCTACAAGTGGTAATCCCGAATCCGGTGGCGACGAATCTGTACCAAGAGCTCCTAAAAGGCCGAGATCCGATGTGTGGAATTTTTTGAGAAGATAGACGTCACCAAGGATGAACACGGTAGGATCCTCACTCAGAAGGCTAAATGTGCGTTGTGCGACCGGACTTTCCAAGCTCATCATAAGAGCGGCACCAACCACCTCAAACGTCATATAAAAAAACACAACAAAAATCAGACTCATCAAGGTGATATCTGACAATCTATGATTTCCCAATCAGTTAGAGATGCTCTAATTCCTATTAAACCACTTTCTTCTAACCATATCCATACGGGTCGAATCCAAGTTGGATAATCCTGCCCGAATCCATTGTCATCCTGCGCCCTCAATTTCCTCCGCATCCAAACCCCCCAACTTTATCGCTTCAACCGGAAAATCCCCAGCCCAAAAAACCTCGACTTTATCTCTTCAACCGGAAAAATCCCCAAATCGCCATGATCTCCCTCTCGATTTCCTCCGCATTCAAACCCTCAATTATTCCCTCGTCAATCACTCAGAAGCCCCTCAAGCCCCCATCTCTCTCCTTCAAACCCTCTCCTTCTCAGGTCTCCGCCACCGCCGAGAGTCCTCGGTTGGGGTTAGATTCAGGTTTAGGGCTAGAGTTTCCGGCAATTTCTTCAGCTCCTCCGTCTCCGGCGACGGCGGCGAGGGGAGCGGAGGGGGACGTGATGGGGCTGCTGCTGAGAGAGAGGATCGTGTTCTTGGGGAATCAGATTGATGATTTTGTTGCTGATGCGATTATAAGTCAGTTGCTTCTTTTGGATGCACAGGATCATACGAAGGATATTAGGCTGTTCATCAATTCTCCTGGCGGCTCTCTTAGGTACGATCTCGTCCTTTTCGGTTGGTTTGAGTCTAGATTCTGATTTCTTGATGAATTTTAAGTTAAATTGCATGATTTCTGCTTATATTTAAGTAGAAATTGAACTGTGCTTGCTCTGCCGGGGTTGAAATTGCTTTCTTTTTTCTATTAGAAATTATTTTAGTTTTGGAAGAAAGTAAATTGCATTTGATTGATCGTAGTACATAATAAACTGGTAGTTAAATTAGCCCACTAATATATATTAATTCCTAGTCAAGTTCACTACATCAACCAAATTCAACCTGGTTATGTAACAGCAGTAAGAAATTTTGTATATACAAAGATTGTGTGCAAACTTAATTTCACAAACTCTACTGTTAACTGAAAACTTAAAAGTAAAACCTAATCAAAATCACTGTTTATTTAAAAATTATGTTGAAGGGTAAAGTAATGAATCAACAAGTTTGATATGATTTATGGTAATTTGGCAATATAAAAGATTGGTATTTGGAAGGTAATTTCAAAATCAGTGTTTATTTAAAGGACATAAACTGATATGCCCGATACTTAACTGAAAAATTAAACATTTACCTTACTGGAGACACAGAAGCCGCGGATAGCCGGAGGAGTTTTAGAAGAGGCAAAGTGCTAGGGTTTGCGTTAGAGGAGGCGAAGAGATCGCATATTCGCAGGAAGAGAATAGGGTGATCGAGACTAAAAGGGGTAGGGCTTAAATGATTTGGACGGGGGAGATGCATCAAAACGTCCTAATCAGAGATGCAATTTAATTTAAAAAAAAATCCATGTTAACTGGTTATATAACATAACGCACATTGAACTCAATATAATGTTTTTTTTCTAGGTTAAACAGTTTCGGGGTTAAATGGGCGTGTTACCTAACAAGAGGGCGCCATTAAGGTACAAATCGTGTTATAACAGGTTATACAACTGGTTTTTTTAAACACTGGTTGGATCCTAAAGTTGATTTCAGGGTTGCTGCCCTCCAAAAGAAATTTGGGGAAGAGAAGGTAAAATGAAAGAGTTGGGTTAAATTTAGGAAAAGATAGGTAATATAGGACTTTAGCAAACTAGCACATGACAGCTCACATGGGTATGTTTCTAGATTATTGTAACGGCTATATATCGGAGAGCATCAACTTGCAACATTTTCAAAACTTTGGGGTATTTATTTGCTGGGTTTTATGACTTTGGGGTATTTAACTGAGAAATATGGGGTATTTAACTGCAGGGTTTGAGATCTTTGGGGCATTTATTTGCTCAATTTTACAATAGGGGTCACTTATTTGCAAGATTGGGGAAACTATAAGGCATTTTTCTGTGATTTGGCCTTTCTAGTTTGAAGTTGGTTCAAAAGATGTTGTTTATACCTACATTGTTGTCTGGTTTTGGAAGTCTAGTTTTTTCCCCACAAGTGAAGGGATGTTATGAATGTTGTGGCAACAACCTTTGTAAAGAAGAAACATAGTAGTTTCTTCTAGTAGTATTGGTCTTAAATTAGCATATTTGAACATATGTATGTTTAGCCATCCTAGATGTTTAGAACAAAGGCTCTGTTGTGATTGTTACGGGCTTACAACTATATTTTAGCAATGTTGGTTTCACTGCATGTGATGGCAATATGAATCATATCAGAATTCTTCACATGCGCGCAATGAGTTTTGATTGCTAAAGGGTTGCAGTGAAATTCCTAACCTGCCCCCTCCCCTCACGTGCTCGTGAAAGGCACACGTTGCCTTTTCGTATACGGGTAGTTTTGATGATTCAGAACTCTTATGAATATGATGGTTGCAAACCTGTTTTAGGCATGTTGCAACGGTTAAGAGAACTTTTGAGTGGAAATTTGATTATCAACATTACATGTTTCAGTTGTAGTTGCTTGTTCTTTAAAGTTTCAAGATCTACTCAATTGACTCAACAAAAGTACCACTTTTGCAAAAAAAATAATTGATCTATTCTAGTAGTAGCAGCAACAGATGATTGACTTGGAAACACCTGTCTAATTATGGTAAAAAAATCATTTTTCCTGTCAGGAATTGCAAAGTAATTGCTGGGAATATAATGATTGCTGGTCTATGTGAGTATCGTTGGACTATTTGGTATAAAATGGACTTAAATTGAACTGAGGGAATTTGAGAACTTTCTTGTTCCGTTGGATCGATGACTATTTGTATCGATGGAATTGTTGTGCGGCCTCAAATGCTGACCTTAAAGTGTTATTCATTCTACTCCGGTGCAAGGACCCCATGTCTGACCCGCTTATACGAACGAGAAGCTCAATTGTCTAGTGTGGACTTGCTAACAACTCTGACAGTGGACGAGCTATCACGTCCTCACAATAGCCAATTAGCTTTCTGATCTGTTGTTTGGCAACGCACAAAGAATGATGTTTATTTAGAGATTTGAAAATGAGGAGGAACTATTATTTCAATCTTTAGAGTCAAGTCTATTTATAGGCTTATTAATCTTGGATTCCAAATAATATTCTTAGAGCCCAAGTAAATTATTTAGAGCGCAAGTAAATTTCTCAGATAGAGCCCAATTATTTAATTAGGGGCTAAGAAACTTTGGGCCCAAGCAATTTTCTAGAATCAAATTTAGAAACTTTCTAGAAGTTTCTACTATTTCCAACAACCATGTTAAGAACAAGATCTTCAACGTGCAACAAATCAAAAAAAACGAAAGTGGTACCATAGTTCAAGCTTAGGCTACCATGGACATAAACTTTCTAGAGATTGGATATGTAAAGCCTCAATGAATCCAGAACACTACAGATGTTGGGTGCTGGTAGGAGCACGCTTTGAGGAGCCACCTGTGCAAGGTGGAGACTTGGTCCTCTCTTATGGAATATGCTGGGTAGATCCTAAAGCCTATGTAGAAATTAAGATAAAGCACATAGCCGTTAAAGTGAAAAGAACAATAGTAAAAGTGGTACTAGTATCATAGTTCAAAGCTTGGCTACTATGAATACACGCCTAATATTAATTTCATGTGTGAGCATTGAATAGAATGTAAAGTACTTGTTCAGGAATTAGCTCATCATTTTCTTGACTACTCTTCAATTGATCTAAGTGGATTCAAAGTCCTAGCGACATCTACATTATGCATGTGAAATTAAAAGGGCAAAAACAGGCAAGTTTGAAAATTGTGGGGATTGTTGGAATTAGTAAAAACTTCGAGGGAGTTTCTAAACTTGATCCTAGAAAATTGCTTAGGCACAAGTTTCTAGGACCCTAAATAAAATTCTTTGGCTCCAAGTAATTTCTTGGGCTCTAAGAGCATTACTTAGACCCAAGGTTAACAAGCCTATAAATAGGCTTGACTCTAAAGGTTGAGATATTAGTTCCTCATTTCATGTTTCTAAAATAGACAAACTTCTTTCATTGTTGTCGTTTTGAAATTTAATCGGATATTCTAAGGTTATGATAGCTCATCCACTGTCAGAGTTATTGGTAGGTTGGGTGGCGACTAAGCCCGCAGAGCCAACCAGGGCCCAAGCCTGCCGTTCTTGGCTAATCTGGAGTGGGGTCCATCCAGGCCAACCTTGAGGCTAGGTCGGGCCAAAGCCTGGGTGTTTGGGCTAAGAGCACAACCCAACCCGACCCATTGACCTCGCCCATTCGGGTCGGGTTGGTCAACTCAGCCTGGCATTTTTCTTTTTCTTTTATTTATTTTATTCTTTTGAATCTTTTTTTAAACATCATTTAGATGTATTTTGACCGATGGGATGAAGGAAGGTTTCAAACTTGATCTATCAATTGTTTGCTTGGAAAACATGCACATTTAAGTATGTTATTAATTTTTAGATTACTAAATTGTTAGTAATAGTTTGTTGCTAATAACTATTTAGTTACTAATAACGAATGTCAATATGGGAAGTTAGGTGCGGGTCAGGTTCCAGGCTCAGTCCAGTTCTGAGTCTTGTCCGAGCTGAGCCGGATTTGCAGGCAGGTTCCGGTTCGGGTCTGGGTTTAAAAAACAAACCTGCATTTGACCCACTTTCGAATCGAACAGGGCCAAACCTGGCCCAGATGCTAGCAGGCTGGGTCAAACCCCAACCAAAATGGGCTGGGTTAGTGCGGGTCGTAGGCTGACCCAGCCCAGTCGCTACCCTTAGGTGCACACTAGGCACCTCTGCTTGTTGTTCCTGGTAGCAGTTCAGACTTGGGATGCTAGCACTAGAGTAGGTCAAATAACGCTTTTAAGGTTAGCGTTCGATGATGCACAACAGCTCCATCGATACGACAATCATCGATCCTACAGAACCAGAAAGTTCTCTAATTCCCTCCGTTTAAAATTTGTCTACTTTACTACTCATCATTTTCTGGTTTGGGAACATAGATATTCATCCTTTTCATCTTGGAGCATTATGGAAATTCGGAAGTGCTATGATTAAGAAGTGAATTATCAAAAGCATACTGCTCTGAGTATCACTTAAGAGATTTCAATCTGAAGTTAAGCATTGACTTTGAAGGTCATTTAAAGACAACAAACATTATTTGGGAGAAGATCATGTCGACTAGATTTCGGTGCTGGTCCTCAACAACCGTGCTTGTGTTCAAGATAAGCCCAGATTCAAAATACATCGAAATAGTGATTACGGAGTCAAGAGTGTAGTGTCTGATCTTCTGGCACTGCCAAGATGGTCAATGAAAAACTGGAAAATGAATGAGAAAATGTTGATGAAGTTGAAATAATTCATAATTGAGCTTGTTATTGTGAATCCTACAATACTTAGTTGATGAAGAAATTGGAAGATTTTCCTTCTCTTTCTTGATATTAGTTCTGGTGCCTTTTTAGTTGTTTCTTTTCTGATTCCGAGATTATCAATTAATGTTATACAACATCACTAGGCGGTTTTGGCTTTTTGGGTCTGGAAACTTGTTAGGTAAGGAGAGCGTCAGCTCATCTCTAGCTGCAGCAGGACGTCAGTGCTAGAAACCTAGGAACTAAAATTTGCAAGTGACCATAAACAGCTATTGGATCCCCAAATCTTTGATATTTGTTAATCCTATCATCAGGGGGAGAATAAGCATCTTTTATCATTATGTCAATGTTTTGTTTTTGTTGCACGGCTGACTTTCTTATCTTTTTATATCTTTGCATTTCCAAACCAAGGCTGTATAGCCAGTAACCTCAGGACCATGGGACCATCCTCCCTCCCCCGATCAAGTCATTTGCTTGAGCTTAACAGTTCCAAATATTTCTGGATCTCTGAGAAGGCCATAGTTGATTGTAAACCTTTTTTTAATTGGAAGATGATACTATGTTTGATCCTGACCAAGAACCATAACAGGTTTAAACAGTCTTAATTTTGGTAAATCCAGTAACGGACATGTCCGAGATGATGGACACATTTCGTATGAAAATTAACTGTGAATGGAAATGTCGAGACGGTGTTCCTGAAGTAACTGCAGACTATCGCGTATCAAAGCTTTGATTATTTCTGTAAACAGCTAAATTGAAGTTCTTTCTTGAAACCTTTTCTTTAAACTATTGAAATTCTACATGCTTCCTGACTCTGAGCTTCTCTCTCAGTGCAACAATGGCCATCTTTGACGTGGTTCAGCTAATTCGAGCCGATGTCTCAACCATTGGTCTCGGCATTGCAGCCTCAACATCTTCACTAATCCTCGGTGGCGGTACTAAAGGCAAGAGATTAGCAATGCCCAACACAAGAATAATGCTCCATCAACCTCTGGGTGGTGCCAGTGGCCAAGCCATAGATGTCGAAATCCAAGCCAAAGAGATCCTTCACAGTAAAAACAATATCATCAGAATAGTCTCTGGATTCACTGGGAGATCAATTGAACAGGTACAGAAGGATATTGACAGAGATCGATACATGTCGCCGATAGAGGCTGTTGAGTATGGTATTATTGATGGTGTTATTGATAGAGATGCCATCATTCCTCTCATGCCAGTGCCAGAGAAGGTGAAGCCTAAGTTGAATTATGAAGAGATTAGTAAAGACTACAGGAAATACCTGACCCCAGAGATTCCAGATGATGAAATATACTGAAGGAAACTCCCTATTTTGTAGGATTTTGAGCTCTGGCAAGTGTTCTCGTTAGCTTTGTGCATCGGTTTATGCTCGAACGGGGCGATTAGGTTATTGTTGTAATTTACAGGATTTAATGGTGGACTTTGTTTCCATAAGTTCTTTGTGTTACCCAAATGGATGAAACTGTAAAACATGAGCATTCTGGATATTGTGTAATGTAGAGAGAGAGCAAAATTTAATCTCCAGAGATCTGATGACAGGGATTTTCAAGATATTGCTATGGAATTGTAGTTCAAAAAATTTCAGTAGTTTAAAGAACCATCGTTATTTGTTGATAGATGAAGGTAAAATTAAAAAAAAAGAAAGAGAGAAAATTACGATGATACCGAAATTTATAATTTAAAAAGTAAAATAATCCAAAATAAACTTATTTCATGCGCTCGAGTTCGGATTTGGATCCTCTCCACTACAAAAAAGTAGTGAAGAGACCACTATTTTTAATCTCAAGCATTGATTATTTAGTAGGCGGTTATGATACAATCTAAATCTAACATTTACCATACCCCGTGTATTGCACTCATTCCCAATTTGCACTAAAAGAAAAAATTATAACCATCAACTAGATAATCAATGACTTTGATTATGTAGTGGTCCCTCCACTATTTTTTTTTATAGTGGAAAGGATCCGAATCCCTCGAGTTCTGCTAGAAGTGCTAGAAAGCACGCTGGTCTTCTCTCTCCAAGACTAGTCTCCATTGACCCTAACAAATAACAATATCCAAAAAAAAAAAGGGAAAAGAAAAAAGAAAGAAAGAAAAATATATATCAAGCAAACAAATAATAAAAAAATAATAAATGGTACATTTATAAATTGTCTATAACCCCTCATTTCACCAAGCGGCAAAAAATCCCCCCTCCCTCTCCTCTTCCCCGCTAACGAACCAAATCCTTTTATCCCCCCCATCGGAATCCCCCAAATTGGAAGCCCTAATTCGCCATGGATTTCGACTAACTTATCTCACCAATGGATCCTTCAGATCCTAACCAGATCCCGGATGATGGAGGAGGAGGAGGAGGAGAGGAAAAGCGAGCCCTCAGGATCTTGACTCGTTGCGGTTGCGGCATCATTTTGTCGCTGGGGCTCTCGGTCTTTTTCTCTCTCGCCTTGGTTCTCGCGGCGATCGGGATCGGGAATTTGACGGCGAAGTCTCCGGTCTCGGTTCCGGCGATTTGCAGGATCGTCTCCAGCAGTGAGTTTGCTTTTTGTTCTCCGTCCTCGATTAATTAGGTTATGGGGAGCATGCGGATTGGATGTGAAGAGAATTTTGGTTAAGAATTAAGTTTGATAAATTCCTGAAAGATGAATTCGTCTCTAGCAGCGTGTTCCTGAAAAAAAGAGAGAATTTTGATTAAGAAATGTGTTTGGCGGGTTCCTGATAGAGTAATCAATGTCTTAATATGCTATCAATTTAAGAACTGATTGTTAACCATAGTTAGCAAGCTAATTCTGTTGTCGCTGGGCGCGCACACACACACTGTTTAATCTGTACTATTAGTATTAGATAGGAAGACACCATCTTCTGAAAAAAAGGCATATTTGAAATGAATAACTCAGTAAAATAGCATAAGAATGAATGCGCCAGTAAGAAACGCACAATCAACAAGGACCGAGGAGTCAGGAGATAGCAATATGTATTTATGCAACGCAAAGATTTGGCTAGTAGTTAACATAGTAAAGGAAACGTCCTGTAGCAGAGATGATGGAGAGAAGGATTCATGATGGCGATCCTAAAGATCTGCAGTAAAGAATTTTTTTCCTTTTCTAGTTGTTGTAGTTGTAAAATAGGGCTTTTGATTACATACATACGGGTTTCATAAGAACTCAAGTGACTTTATATTGACCGTAGCCCATAATGTTGCTAGGCTCTCTTGATCCTCCTGTGGTAAACATAAAATTGTTTGTATCATTTATGTCCCAAGATTATGATCCATGCCTTTTCACTTGACTTTTGCCTGAAATTGGAAATTTCTACACTGCAAAAAACCTACATTGACTCTGCTTGGTTAAGTTTGTAAGAGTTGCACTTTCCCCCTTGGATCCACAGTGTAGCATTACGCCATCTTCGAGCTTCACCTGTTCCTATATTTTTTGCAGGTGTAGATATTAGGTCGTCTAAAGTCTGTGAACTTGGACTTCTGAATTATAGAGCTAAGAATGTTCTTTACCCTCTGGGCAAGGGGAAGAAAAGATATCGATGTCATGATGATTACTATTGGGCTTCGGTGTTTGAGGTGATCTCCATCTTGTATGTATCTTTACTGGCTGCTATAAAATGTATTTATTACTTCAATATTATATTACGTGATAGTACATTTTAGTACTTCATACTACAGAATTTGATTCACAATGGATTTTAGGCATGGCAGTCATTCACCAATTGCATTATCTTCAAGTGATGAAAAGTACTCTTGTGCATAATATTTTCCCTGTTAATTATTTTAACTTTCCTTATCATTGTGAAGGATTGTTGCATGAGAGGTTAAACAAGTAAGTTGACATGGATCACTTCACGGATTAGAGCAAGTAAAATCTGGGTAAAGGTGCACTCACACTCATATGAAACTGTGAAGTCTGAAGAGGAATAGAACATATTTACAATGAACTCCTTTGTCAAAATGATGAAAATTTTGCATTCATCTTTGGTAAAATGCAGTCAGCTAAGCTCCCACTATACCGATTACTATCGAGAAGGTCCTTTCTCTTATAGTTGGTTTGGTCGGGAATTCTATCAAGTTGGTGGGGCTGATATCCGGTGGAGAGCCGTCATTCTTTCTTAACTTTGAGTAAGGCTACTAAGCTAACACCCCCATAATGGGAAAAATCATTCTTTCTCAACTTTGAGTAAGCTATGTAGCTAACACCCCATAATGAGAAAAGGATTAATGTGATGGTATGATTTAAATAAAGTAATTGACAGACGTGCTTGTAAACAACTATTTCTTATGCTTATTAGTTTATGGGTAAAGTTTGGTGCTATCCGAGGAACTTGGTAAAGAATAGGTCAAAACAGCTGGCTTTGTGTAAAAGTGGACTTCAAGAGGGAAGTATGTCAGTATGAGGAGGCAAAGTAACGAAGCATTAAACGGATAAAGGATGACTACATGAAGATCAATCTGTATTTTTTTACAGATCTATGTATGCGGCTGGATGCCTGATTGTCTGGAAAGTACTTGGTCCTTAAACTAAGAACTGAACACTGTGGTGTATTAAATATCTAACATAAACCTTGAAAGGCCCGCATCAGGCAAACGTGTCATCACTTCGGAGCATTAGTACTTTGCATTTTGTTACATGTGTCTGTAACTTTTGCTATTTAGTAAGTTTTTTCTCCAATTTCTGCTGAATAATGAGTTGTATGTCCTCTTTGACAGATGTTTTAGGTTTAGGGTCTTGTTCTGTAAACTTCACTAAAAATCCTAATCTACTGTGAGTAAGAAGTCATACCCAAAAAAAAAGGAAAAAGAAAAAGAGGAGAGCTCTTTTGAGAAGGAATTCAATTACAGCAAAATATGAAGAAATGTTACATGAACTTACTGCAGAAAATATCGTTAGTAGAAAAAAAAATAGAGAACCACATGAAAGTAACAGCTTCTGCTTCACCAATCTTTGTTTTTTAGCATAAGCTGTATTTTTCTGAATAAGAAGGTGCACTCTACCACATGCCTCTTGGTTAAGCATAATCACCAATTCGGAATATGTTCTGATGTAGTAACTGTTTTTATAGAACTTTCTGCTTCACTTGAAGCATGCTATTTTTAGTTAATCTTGGATTCTCTCTTTCAGGTAGAATATAAAGAATATTTTTCTGGTCAAGTACTGCAGGCAGTGGCAGAGGCTCCTAAAGAGGCCCTTCCTCTTGACTGTAGGCCCAGCTTTGGTACTGCATGGTCCACAAAAATGAAGTTCAAGGTATATCTGCAAAATGTTCATCTTGTTTTAACAATTCTTATCAATTCCAAATTGTGACTTATTAGTTACATGTGCAATGGGATCCAATATTAATAAAGTACTTGATGAGAATTATCTGATCTCTTAATTATGGAAATCCTTTCAAATGAGAATGCTTGTCTTTCTATTGTTTGTTGAGTTATATATTTAGAACCCAGTTTGAAACCCAGCTTTTTGAAACCTTGGACATTCTTTCTTGATGATAATGGTCAGTGGTCGCGCTATAGTGTTTAATACTAATCAATACCGGTCCTGGTTGTTTCTATGATTGCCTGGAATTTATCTAGAATCTTGGTGAATCATTTGAATCCTTTTCATCAGAATGATCTCTTTTTTATGTATTCCCTTTGTATTAAAAATAGGATTCAAAGGTCTGGTGCTGGTTTTGCAGCTAAATGATCGGAAACGATTTTTGACCGAGTCCTTAATAATACCTGATCTCTGGGTGGATAGATTCCATGTCTAAATGATATGAACAGGTAAATTACTTGTTTTGGTTTGGGATTGTTTGTGAACAGGGTTTCTGTGTGATACTGTGGTTCAGGTTTGTATTTTGCTTTATTATGTAAACCGGTCTAGTATTGCAATAGGCTTAGCATTCTTGTCATATGGCAGTTGTGTTGTCGACATTGCTGTCCTCGTGGCGAGGCATTGGTTTCTAGAATGCAAGGATTACTTTCTTGCCATGAATGGATTATTCACACCTTTGCAGTTTGTGGAACTATTTTAACTTCATAGTGTTACAGATTTATACAACAAACGTTGAAGGCTTTGTAAAAAAAGTTGAAACCATCCTTACCCCCTTAAAGAGAAATAATTAAAAGTACAATTAATTTTGTTTAACTTTACTAACCCCTAAATCCAGTTTGTGAATAGTTGTATCATTAAAAACTATCGGTACTTATTGACACAACTCAACTGTGCTTCTTTAGGGGTCTAAGTTATTGAACTCATTATCTTTTATAACACTAGGTTGTCTTCATTATATCAAACACTAGGTTGTCTTCATTATATCAAACTATTTTGTAGGTGAATGAAACCTACAACTGCAGATATACTTTGGGAAGCCGCAAAGCTGACATCTGTCCTGACAATCTTTTCAATTGTCAATCAAAGGACCCATCTGTGACAGAATTGGTTAGAAGATTCTTCATACTGTGAGTAGACTAAGATATTCTTTTGTTCTTGATATGATGACCTTTTCTTCAGCAGTAAACGTTGTAGATATGGATGGTCTGACCATCATAGCTTACTATTGTAGGCAATCATTGGAACTAAAGTTCATTACCAAAAAATAACTCTAGTTGATAAAAATGTGACGCAATCTATTTGTACTTAAACCCATTTGCTCAACGCTTAAAAGAGCACAACCCCTCCCTCCCCACCCCCACCCCCACCCCCACCCCCAGCGACCCGACACACCTTAAAAAAACCACAATCAGCATTCAGCATGCCCATTACATCTTAGAAAAAGAAAGGGGGGGGGGATGACGTGCACAAAATGCGGTAATCAGAAAGTTTATCTACTGCTTTGGCGTCGCTCTTGTACTTTTGCCACTATTTGATGCACTAAACTTCACTTTCATGGTTGATCATTTTGTTTAGCATCCTTATGACTTCACGGACTTTATTCCACCATATCCTTTTTTCTACCTTTTCTAGAATGACAATGCGGTCAGCATTCAAGTTAATTCATGTTCAACTAATTCTCTTGTACTTGAAAGAAGCTTCTTGAACCATATTTACCAGCATTCAAGTTAATTCATGTCCAACTAATTCTCTTGTACTTGAAAGAAGCTTCTTGAACCATATTTACTGTTTGTGATATTGTTTGGCTACTAAGTTCTCTTTTGAAAGTGTATACTGGTTAACTAACACTAAAAATAGTCCACTCAACCTTAATGACAAGCTACTTGCTTACTTTTCTGGGTCACTACATAACCGGTTAATGTTTACTAATTTGTTAACGGGTAGGATATTAGGCATTTGTAAATGGGTCGTTCCAAACTTCACATTAACGGAAAAGGGAAAAGAATATGATTATGTACTCTTAATTAAAGAGGTTAAGAGGGTTGATACTTGATAGTAATGTGTTATCTATATGGTTATGAGGGTTGATAGAAAAATAAGTTCAAGATAGTCTATGTTCAAACGGAAGGCCATTTCATTTTAAAAAGCTGGTGGTCTAGAATCACGGCTCCAGTCATAAGCTACAATTGTTATCCGACTTGATTCCCCTAGATCCATATGATCATTCACCGCATGTCGATAGGCCCTAAATTGATCACCTGACTGGCATGACATTTGGAATTCGTCACATATCTCTATCTATACAAGTTAAAGTCTAGATTTAAAAAAAAAAAAAGTCCATTTTCGTAAGCTATTAACTCTTCCTTTCTCACTTTAATCTAACTCGTGTTAATTTATCAATATTAGGTTTATGAGATCAGTCATCTTCGATAAGGACAGTACCGGGCTCAAGGGAGTATATGCAGTGGCTGGCACAATTTCAGGCGTGCTATTTGGCATATGTTTCGTGATCCTCCTCAAAACCCTACAATCCTCCGTTCTCTCTCTCATCAAACGGTGGAAAGCTCGAAAGCACCAGCTCCAATCCTTTGCTGTTGGATTGAGGCGAGCATGTCTCCTGGTTGCATATTTCTGTGCTGCGGCTTGGCTGATGTTGGAGTACGGCAAAATGATTGGGCTTAAACAGTTTTCTTTGAAGGCTAATCTTGCTGAGAGAACTGTATAGTGATGTGTTGTGTATATTATCCATTGATGTATGTATAATATCAGTGTCAGTTCCTCCGTGTTTACATGAAAATGGCAACCAAGTTGAGGGGCACGAGTTTGAGAATATGGATGAGATGGTGATTTATCGAAGAGTGAATCATATTGTTAAACTAGTAGTTCTGTTAGTGAGCAATTATAGTGATTAATATCGTTTGATGCTATTCTCGGTGAAGAGCATGCCATCATAGTAGTAAAAGTTTTTGGGCTAAAATGATCATTTTCCTATATTTATTTAGTTGGACCTGATTACGAGTTCGCGTGACAAATCACATGACGTCAACTTGGCATCTTTCGGCTGATGCGTGTGAGATAGTTGGGTTTGTTCATTTTAGTTGAAGAGGGGTTTCTTTCAAATGTAAGGGCCAAATTTTTAGTTGAAGAGGGGTTTCTTGCTATTCTACTTGATCTTCATATCGGTGATGAGTGTTCAAATTTCTGGAGCCATCATACTCTACTTACGACTTCTTTTTGGATATTACAACCACAAATTATGCTTAGTTTGATATTGGATAATTTAGTATAATTTAATATCTGTATTTCAATTAGGCTCCTAGACAAGGTGACAAGGTTATAGAAAGCGCTAAGCGGTCTAGGCGTCAAACCCGGTTCCTAGAGCCTAGTTGGGCACCCAGGCAGGTCTAGGCGTTTTCCTATTTTTTATTTTTAATTACAACCAATGTTATAGAAAACATTAGGCGCCGCTAGGCGCCAAGGCAGGGTTTTGGAGGATTTCTTTCATGATTAAGTGGTGGCGGAGGAGGTTCTGCTGATGGACGGAGGAGTTGGAGGATGTCTTTCATAATCGGCGGAGGAGGTTGGAGGAGTTTGTAGAAGGCCAGAGGACGTGGGGGCAAGAGCGGAGGAAACCACAACCAAGACCTACACAGTGCAGCCTGTCTAAACAGTTTATGCTCCGCTGTTTGCTCCGTAGACCTTAGGGAAGGTGGCCTAAGTACGGCCTAGGCCTAGGCGAGACCTAGGCGGGTTAGGTGGAAGCTTTTTAAAACCTTGCCCCTAAATTAGTTGAAGTTCTATTTTGAAACTTGATGCTCTTTACAAGCAACTTAAATGATTTCAGGACCTACACTGGAAGTATGAAGCTTTGGAAACCTCACATTTGATATGAGAAACCTTCCAAATTTCGCATTGATTGTGAGCATTTCTATGATATTGTACACACAAAAATCTTTAGGAGGGTTGCACTGCATTCTTCACTTGATTCTTTCACCAGTCGATATATCTATAAACCTTCTTGGCTGTCTTGAGTTCTCATCAACTTATAACTAAAACGACTATGTAAAGAAATGATATTTTCCGTTTGTTTACTGTGACATAACTTAATTAGCACCTATAAATTGTTTGAAGCTAGAGTTGGCTCTTTGATTCTTCTCCTGTAATGATTTGTCTTGTAACTGACTAGCTAGCTAGTATCGACTTCTTCATTCTTTTTTTCCCCTTCTTCCTTGTGCAGGTCAATACTTTGCATGCAGATGGAATATTCACACTTCAGAAGCTTCTTCGTTGATTATATTCATTCTGTGTGCTGAGGGCTCATATGCTAATCAGGGCATTGAAGAGATGCCCATTTTTGAGAAACATCAATGAGCCAACGAGCTTCTCCTTCGCTTCCTTCAGTTTTTATCATCATACCTGAAATTTTGCGCAACAATGGTGATTTCTCTGCATGCAACGTACATTTAAAAGCAGAACATCAACTTCTCCTCTCATCAGTGGTCAACGGTTGTTTCCTTCCTCATGGTCCCCATCTTTTGCAGTTGTCAAATTCATTATTTCATAATAATAATCCCTTTCGGATATTGTAATTAGTTATCTTTTCCATGCAGACTTTCCCACCGCCAACAACAAAGCCTTTATCCCAAATTTTGAGTGCAGTTAAATCTAGCTAACGTTCTGGATAAATTGTGATGTTTGCTTCAAACGAGAGGAATGCACTTCAAATTGTATGAGGGCAGTTATATTACGTAGCTTCTCGCAAAATACAAATCCTGTCAGACTCGTACATATAGGAACAAGAACGGCTTGCTTTGCAACATATACAAAACAGTAAAACTTCCCCGAACTAACCGTCTATTCACATGTGAGTGGTATAGATTATTGCTATCGTATACATGTGTTTTGATAAGATATGTACTCATTAGTTATGATTAGGTGAACTAAGTAAAGCTTGTGAGGGAGAAAAAGAAAAAGAGAAGGGTAAAAAAACCATGCTGACAACTAACAACGAGCCTAACCATTATGAATGTTTTGAGATGATTGAATACAATCTTGTATTATATATCTAAAATAATCGTGTATAATAGTTTCCCTCCTTAATATAACTTATGCGGCCCATGCCTTGGCATTTTTTATTTTGGGAATTATGTGCAATACAAGACGACAACAAAATAATTGTTCATATTTAACATGGCTTTACTATGTTCCAATTGGAATTGCATGATGATACGTGGGATGACGACAAAGGTGGCTACATTCACTAGAGTTAAATTTTGCAGTGTAGCCCCAGATGAATAATACAAGTGTTCTAATTTCTAATATGACAGGTGAATATCATAAGTGTTGTAATTTCTAAGGGGTACTGTTTGTTTCACCAAAAATTTTGGCATTTGTTATGGATTACAAGTTTTGGGATAAAAAAAATGATTTTTTTTTTTGTATTTTGCGATTCAATATATGATGTTTGTTTTAAGAAATTTTTTAGAATATTGAATCCAAAAAGTACAAAAAGTGTTCAACTTTTAGAATTTGCAAAATCCTCTCAATTGGAGAGGATTTTGACAAATCCCATAAATGAGTGTGCTTACCTCTCAATTAGAGAGGATTTGACAAATTCTAATTTTATCTTTTTTTGGGAGGTAACTTCACCAAGATAGCATATTCATCACATTACAAAATTTTGGCATTTGGTAATGCTATAATTTGAGCTTGAAACTAACAAAATATTACAAATTATAGTATCCCAAATCCCAAAATAGTAATGAAACAAACAACATTTTAGAAATTCCAACTCATAACAAAACACCTATGGATTTTAAATCTCATGGTGAAATCCATATCCTAAAATTATAGGATTTGAAACAAACACCCCCTAAGAGGAAAATGTAAATTGATCCTTGGCTTTTTGAGTCAAGACAAAAAGTCTCCACCACTAAGCCAGTAGGTGGTAATTATAAAAGGAAATTATATTTATTTTTTCCTTACTTTCAAAATAAAATTTTGCCATCTCAATTTTTTCCCTTTTTTTCGGTTGAAAATTTACAGTTGAGCTACCTTTCCTTGTCCATAAGCAATGCAGCATTCCATACCAAACCACATGCTTTTACCTACATAAAATATATATATATATATACATGCACCTAACTTACACGACACCCAAATTCTCACCGCGCAATTCACAATCCAAATTATTCATAGTGTAGCTTTGGGTGCAATTTGAGATAGCATTTTGCTTTATACCTAATTTCATCACTAGCAATAAATCAATGATAATTATTAACCTCTAAAAAAAAGGGAATATGCAGCCAGAGAAAACCTCTCCGCAAAGAAAAGATCTTTTTTGGGCCCCCTGTCAAAGTCTCCGGTCACCACCGGTCCAAGCGCAAAAAGATCAAGAACTTTTCATATTAATGCCTCACATTGGTACTATTTTCATCTCAGTCCCATCACATTTTTACAATTTTTACACTAGTTAGGTACCCCATTTCTTTCTCTTCATTTTATTTAGACCAATGCATTACAACCAACCCTAAGAAAAGATATGTGACAGTGGGATATATATATTTTTTTTTTATCATAAGACTATTTATGTTCTAAATGCATGATAAGCACGTGATATTTTAGACAGAGAGAGTACTAACGTTCAGTCATTGTGAATTTTTAGGTAGCAAATGCACAAAAAAATGATATTGAAGTTAAAAAAAGGTTAAGTTTTTAAATAGCAAAAAGGACAAATAGCCCTAATAACTATCATAGAACATTACTCCCAACGTGTTGGGACCTCAGACTCGCTGGTCCTAGAAACTATCGATGTCTATGTTATTCATGTCTCCAATGTTCATTTAATGGGTGTTGGGTCAGTTTTTGGGCCTCCCCATGCATGGTATTAGGATGGAGTTGGGGGTCCGTATAGGTGACTACTAGGTAAATTTTATAATTAACGTAACTAGAAGGGTTAAGTATTGGGGTTTTTCTATAGAGTGCCCATGTGCACTCTATAAGAGAGGAGAGAGATAGAGAGAAGTGAATTGCCCATGAGCCCTCCTGATTTGTACTAAATTCTATGGACAATTCACTTCTCTCTATCACTCTCCTCTCTTATAGAGTGCACATGGTCACTCTATAGAAAAACCCTAAGTAGAAATCCGACGCAAATTTACCGTTACGTAAATGTTAAGACTAGAAGGACTCTTCCATGAAAATGAGCGCGGAAATCCAAGCTCCAGCTCCGTACGACAACCGGCCATCGCCGTTTGCCCATAAACTATTGTTCCCCAAACGCACACCCCCAACCAAATAAGAACAGAACCCCCACGATCCGGGCACCACATGGCCTCGCGACCTCCATTTAACTTAACTTGTTCCGAGGGAACACCAGACCAATCCCAGTCACAAGTCCACCATAATTAATAGCTCTTGCATCTCAATCCCTCCGCTTCAATCTCCTCCCCTAATTATTTCTCCCCTTGCTGCCATTAATAATAGAAAATCGAAAAAAGAGAGGGAAAAATTAGAGAAAAACGAGGAAATTGTGTATAAATTACGCGGTTGAGCTTCGATCCTGGAGGTCGCCTTTGCCTTTGGAGGGAGGCGAGGGAGGTTATGCTTGAAGAGGTAATCTTTTATTTTCCATCTCTTTATTTATTATTATTTTTTTTGATTCCAGGGGAACGAAACCCTAGAAATCGCCGGCGATTTTGATAGAAATTGATCGGCGATTCTCTAGGGTTTCGGATCCGATTAGCGCAGGGATGATATCAAGGAGAGCTGACGGATCCTAGGGCTTCTCATGAATGGATCTAGGGTTTGTATTCTCTTTCGATTGAGCTGGCAATTGTGCCGTAGATCTGGTTGAAGGCCTTGAATGATGCTATAACTATTTGTTATTCTGGAATAATGGGATAATTTCTAGATTTTGGTTGGTTGGAATGTCTTTTGAATTTTCTTCTGCTTGCAAAAATTTTAAGCCCTTTCGTGTGCTTCTCTATGAATAAATATCTTGCGTTTGCAAAACATGGAGATTTTCCATCTTTCCTAATTAGATTAGATAGGTAGATGCCTCTCATAACTTTATGCTTATCTAAGTATAACACGGGTTAAGCTTTCACGAGCAGTAGGCCATCTTCTACAGCAAATTTTTGCAATGCACCATAAATACGAGTATGCGTGGCGGGCGCATCATTGCCTCGCCCTTTTTTTTGAATTAAATAACACTTTGTTTTTTTTCCTTCTAGGCACCGCCCTTGTTTGTTATCACCTGTTTCGTATTCTTTTTCAAGATATGGAACATGAGCGCGTGCTCTCAAGTTGCTACAAGTGCCGAGGTTTATCCTTCCAGGAAGTTCTTGATTGGAGGTTCATCATTCCTAGGGATTTTCTTCTCATCTCCTTTGTCAATTGTACCTAGTGCGTTGTTGGTGTTCCATGACCTCCAAGGGCAGCGTGATGCAACTTTCTTTTGAAGTCGTTGGAAATATAGTGCACTTCGACAAGTAACCTAACTTTATGTATTGTTCTGAAAAGCATGTTACACCTCTGAGGGTCCTCTGACTGTTCCCTTTTTGGCAGTGCATTACCATCACAGCCTCTACTTAGAGTGAATTTGAGGTCTATAAAGCGCAATATTGACGCTATAATTTGTGGGGTATGTTATATATTGTTGATGTGTTGAAGTATTTTTCGTTCCATGATAATTCAATATTATCTGATTCTTGATTTTGTTTGTTATTTATGTTCTCAGGGTTAAATTTGTAACCATTCATTTGGTTACTGTCCGTTAGCTGCAGAAACGTCTTCGTAAAATCTGAACATACTCCTCAATCTTGCTATTTTCACATTGATGGAATGTGTTTCCTTGCTTCTCAAACAAGGTTTATGAAGAAGACAGAGCACACTAAATTGTATTCGCTCCTGCTGAGTAGTCCTAGCGAAGACTAGCAAGAACGAGCTTTTGCTTCTAGACTATTTATTGTGAAACTGCATTATAGTTCTTTGAGCAGTATTTCACGTGTAATTGGAAATTGACTTTGGAAAGTTCAGCATATGTTCCAAGTCTAAATACCTGCAGGAAATCTCTTGATTAGTTTCTTTAATTCCTCTGGAGAATTTGTTTTCAAGTGAACACCTCCTGTGAGTTGCCGTATATACTTCGTGCGTATTCGTCAATTTCCTCTAATAAAGACCTTGAAGGGTTCTCTCTTTGCCTGAAAATATGGATCGGTGAGTATTCAAGTCTCAGATGGATACATATTCCTTTTTCATTTACTCAATAGGAATCTGGACATGCTGCAGGTATAAAATGATAAAGGAAATTGGTGACGGCACCTTTGGAAGTGTCTGGCGTGCTATAAACAAACAGAGTGGCGAAATTGTATGTACTGTAAATATATCTCTGTGTTGAATTTTTGGTTCGATAACTGAGAAGTGTTTTCCAAAATATCTTAATCATATCTTTCTTGTTAGGTTGCAATTAAGAAAATGAAAAGAAAATATTATTCATGGGAAGAATGTATGAATCTTCGGGAAGTGAAGGTAATTAATGGCATTTGTAGTTTGTGTACAAAAATTGCCCTATCTATGTCTTTTTTTGTTCTCATATAAGCATTTTGTGTTGCCCAGTCCTTGCGAAGGATGAATCATCCCAACATTGTGAAACTGAAGGAGGTTATAAGGGAAAATGATATATTGTACTTCATATTTGAGTACATGGTATTCTTTTCAATGTTCCGTCATTCTTTTACTGCAATTGAAAGATTATGAGATTCCCTTGACATTTGTCTTTAATGTTATTACCAGGAATGCAACCTTTACCAGCTTATAAAAGATAGGAGCAAGCCTTTTGGAGAGGCTGAGGTTCGAAATTGGTGTTATCAAATATTTCAAGCTCTTGCTTATATGCACCAACGTGGCTACTTCCACCGGGACCTTAAGCCTGGTAGTAATGTAGTTGCAATACTGATATTTCTGTTTGATATTGTATTGTATCTTCCTTTAACTTTGTTCCACTAAACATGTAAGAAATTATCTTTCTTCTTCTCTTAGGATGTATGTGTCAATTTTTTTTCAAGTGAGCTATCAATTTAGGATATAATAGGTATGAGTCAGTCATCTTTATTTGTGTCGAGTTGATTTTATGTCAAACTATTGGCAACCATCTTCTGTAGCTTTATAGGTCTAGTTAGATAGGTTTATTAAAATTTTTAATATATAAAGTTTAAATGATTATGGTGAAAAATCCTTCAATTGCTTCATGCATTTAACTTAGAATAAGCTGCTATATTTTGCTTAGTGTCTTCATATCCATATGCTTTCAATAATTTTTTCCATTACTTTGCAGAAAACCTTTTGGTAACAAAAGACATCATAAAGGTTGCAGATTTTGGCCTTGCTCGGGAAGTTTGTTCAAAGCCACCATATACGGAATATGTCTCCACTCGCTGGCAAGTGCCAACCGCTGTTGTTTCTCTCTACTTATTTTCTTTCTGTATTATTGTTATGACAGTCAATATACTATATGTGGATGACACAGGTATCGTGCCCCAGAAGTTTTGCTCCAATCATCTTCATACGGTGCTGCGGTTGGTGAGTGGTTAATGAATATGAATTGTGGCGTGAAGTTAATGTTGAATGTGGCATTGATAGTTATTGCGCTTCTTACTTTCTTTAGATATGTGGGCGATGGGTGCTATAATGGCTGAGCTTTTTACTCTTCGGCCTCTTTTTCCTGGATCAAGGTATACATTTGAAGCGGAAAGTGTAATTTCTCATGCCTTCTTAATTAATTTTTAGATGTTTAGAATATCTTCCCCTCTACCTCTTTATCTTGGTTTGGTTCTCTCAGCCATACAATATTCCTTTTTTGATCTCTTGCAACTAAAACAGCAGTGCATGTTTTCTGATCGCCTGATGGTTATTTTCATTGTTAATCTAAAATGTTATGCTCATGAGCTAATCAAGCCAATAATATCCTCTGCCCATACAAGCTGATAATATCTTCTAATCATAAATTTGTTAAATGTTATTCAACTTTCCTTGTATGTGGTGGGCAGATCCCGAATTAGTTCTCTTATGTCGATCTTCCATTTTGCAGTGAAGTTGATGAGATATTCAAAATCTGCAGTGTCATTGGTAGTCCAAACCAGAATTCTTGGTCAGAAGGACTTAAGTTGGCAGAGGTCATGAATTACCAATTTCCTCAGGTTGTATAATGTTCTCTCTTCTATTACTTTTTGTTTTCTGGTGCAATCTCTTTATTGCTCTATTTGTTATCTGTGATTGCTTAACCTAAAATTATACTTATCTCTTGTATTTTTGGAGCAATCATGTGTTTCCCTTATCTCATGTGGTTAAATTTTCTTTACAGAGTATAGATCTTAATGAAAGGAGAATTACTTATAGTGGTTTCTTTATTGACATAAATCTTAAACTTACAACTTCAAGAATACTAGGATTCCTACTGCTGAATTTATGTATTTTAGCTTTCTGCATGTTACTTATCTACATATTATACATTAAACATCCAGATGTTGAGAGATGTTCATGCCCAGAATTTTGGTCCAGAATTTTGGTTTTCTTCTGTAATATGTTTATTTTTGTCATTGATATTCTTTTTTTTGTTAACAAATACTTATTCAAGTTCAATTTCACAACATATTGATTATTGCTTCTGATGTACCTTTCATTGTAGTTTTCAAATGTACATTTGACGACACTAATACCATCAGTTAGCGAGGAAGCAATTAATCTTATCTCGGTAAGGCCTGTCTATCAGGATGATGCATTTGATTTAGCTAGTAAAAGACAGTTTTTTTAATAATGATTGAATATTGAGACGATTATATGGCACGTTCAGGAAGTGAGTGTGGCAATCGCTCTTTTTCAAAGTGAATATTCAATATTGTTTAATTTCTAACATGCCTCCTTGTGCAGTTACTCTGCTCCTGGGATCCCATCAAAAGGCCCACTGCAGCAGATGTCCTTCAGCATTCTTTCTTCCAGGTGATGACACTGAAGTTTTGCTGGCATTTTTAGCTTTCGAGGAAATTGACATTTATACACACTTATCTTTGGTTAGTACTTAAAAGTTGCTACTTCCTTGCTTATGACAGCCCTGCTTGTACATCCCACCATCTCTTCGTGTGAAAGCAATGGGACCCCCAAAAACACCTCCGTCTGGTTGGTTTTCAAAATTTTCCTCCATCCTGAGGATCACTTTTTTCTTCTGTTGGATATTTGCATGTTGCCTTCTCTGATATCTAGTATAAATGTTACATCTTATAGTTGGGAATAGAAGTTCCATGGAGCAGAAGAGTGCTGCTAGAAGATACTCTACTGGTGCTCTATCAAATACAAAACCAGCAAGCAACCTGCTCACATCAAAGCTAAATGCTTCTGCTAAGACAGGTATTTTATTTCCCTGGTTTTATATTGATTCTTCAGGGGGATCTGGAATCCAATATTGAGCTTAGGCTAGAAAAAAGTAGAGGGTATATCGTATGTATGAATACTGTTGGTTGTGGTAAATAATCACTTTTTCTGATATATTAGAGCATTACTGAGTACACTTTTTTGTGTTTGATTTTAACTTTTTATTTGCCTTACTGAGTACATTTCTTTCCATTGCAGCTACACAGCGGAAGCTGGAGATGGATCATCAGGTTGGTAAACCAGACGCGTGATCTTAATTTAATCACATGATTTCAAAATTTTCATTCTGATCTTTCTCTTCTACAGGAATCTGAGAAAAGTGCAAGACCGGTGAGGAACAGTTTGAGACAACCTCGACAACTGTCTCAATATCAACCACTGGCCAGGCAGAAACCAGGTACGTAACTAGTTATTTTCTTGATAGTTTTTATCTACGTTGCATGGGTACTTCCATTTGTAGCCATATCTATGTCGTGCGTGCACCTAACACTGAAACTTCAGTTGACACTCCTTGGATATTTGCATGCACTTATTCAAATGTTTACTTAATCGTATAAGACATATTTTAATATAAAACACTCGAGATATACTTCTTGGACGTATATCCTACACTTGACATGCAATTTTTGAAACTCGTTGGACATAAGTTAGGTTTGTTTCAACCCATAGGCAGTTGAAAACTTTGGTTATAAAGGTCTTTCGGATCAAGTTAAAATAACGAGTAATTTTCTAATTTATAGACTTATATTTTAAACTAAACATATAAATGTTATAGGAATTTTATTTCATAGCACGTGAAATGAAAAAATAATATTGATCTAATGTTAATTATTAGGGGGTTTTAAGATATGGGTCGCCCAAAACTCATTCATTTATTTTGATACAAGTCCCCTAAATCTTCATATTTTGAAATAAGTGCCCAAAACTCTTAAATTACTTTAATTCAATCCTCATGGTTTATTTCTGTCAGGTTAAGCCAAATGAAACTTGACGGCAGTTAGTTTTTTTACAAATATACCCTCATCTTCAACCTAGCCTCTTCCATCAAGAATCACATTCAAACTTTAATAACTCACTAATCCATGCAATGCAAAATAGTCATGTAAAGCTAACTATACAATTCTTATCTTTTCAAAGAAGCGAACTATTGAGTTGTTAGCACCTATGATCTTACAAAAAAGCGAACCCCTAAGAACCCATTAATTCCAACTCGTGAATAATATTTCAAGATTCATAATGTAAACTATTTGTCTGAAAACATCTCTAATGTTTGGTAAAAAACGAGTTGTAGTAGTTTTATTGTTCCTAGCCATCTTCTGCATCATCTTGGAACCCATCGTCCCACCTTTCAGCAATTTCTTCTCACCTTCTCCCTCCAATCACTCTTCCTCTTTAGCATTGTAGCATAGGAACCCATCTTCCCATCGTCTTTAAGATGAGCTGCTCTTGAGTTATCAACATTTTTGCTTGCAGTATTTGTCCCCTTCACTTAATTTGATGATTGTCTCACACTCTACAACAAGTGACCTATCGTAATCTTAAATTGGGGTTGGGTTTGGGGAGAGCTGTTTAAAGCAAGGGTTTGAGGTCAAGATCAGGAGGAGCCAGAAGGTGATGACACTCGCGAACCACGGGAAAGGGTGAGGTGGTTTTCTTGGGTTAACTCAAGTTTCACATCCAACACCTATTTGATTAAGTCTCTCTACACATATTGTTTAATGGTTTAACTTAACTGAAGTAACAATCTCCAATAAGTTTTAAGTCAACCCCAGTTAAAATCTAACAAAATAAACTGACATGGACTTATTTGAAACAACTTAAATGTTATGGGGGACTTATTTCAAAATATGAAGTTTCTGGTGACTTTTATTAAAATAGATGAGTTTTGAGGGACCAATATCTCAAAAACCCTAATTTATTATATATACATGTACGTGTACTTGTGTACCCTTACCCTATTTTTTTTTTACAAATTTGGTGTGTCCCATACCCTCACATGTACCTTAAACCTTGTAACTTTGGTATTTATTCTATTTTCCTTCCATGGAGAAAGGTCTCTCGCCAGACTGGTATGTTTAACACTATCAAGATTTTCCTTTACACAAGTGAATGAATGTCTCATCATTAATGTTTTAGGAGCCTATAGTTTTATTTGACTAATTGGTTGGTTGCACATAATGATAGAGGGAAGAAAAATGCTTTTTATTTGATTAGATCCTTTCCGCTACCAATTATATAAAGAGTTGGAGGTATAATATAGCATTAACCAGAATCGTTTATTATTTAGTGGACTAGTGTGCCTCGTTCCAAATTTTAGCACTTATTATACCCATCGCGCATTGCACATCCTTGCTTTCGCTCAAGATGAATCACAATTGACAACTAGGCAATAGATGGTCATGATTGAAGTAGCGGTCTCTCGACTACTTTGTAGTGAAGCGAATGTCACTCTCATGTTGGGTTGCAGATGGAAAATACACCATGAATCACTGAATGATGAAATGCCCGAAGTTCGTCTTATTTTGCTCATCCTCCTCCCCTCATATTGTTCCTTTGATCTTATGGGATGGGTCTCGAATTAATACTGATGAATGGGTTTGGAACTTATAACATGACATTCACCTAGTCTTTTAACGGGTGTTAAAAAAGTCTGCACTCATTTTGTTGTCTTTCATGTGGTTTAGCAGCAACTCTGAGCAGTACTACACGAAAGGTTTCTTCAGACGGGGTTGAGAAGGCAGCAGCAACACGAAAGGCGGAAAGCTCGAACAAGATCACTGAGGTCACTGCTAAATTAACAAGGATGAGTCTGAGTTCTGGTCTTCAACAGAAGAGGCAGCAACAACAGCAGCAGCAGCTTAGCAA